TAAGTGGAGAGCAAATCTTTTGAGAATGATGAGGGCAATGAATGTACAAATGTGCTTTACACAATTGATCTATGTATGGATTGTGATAAGAGTTGCATGAGCCCCTAATAAAATGATTTTTTTTAAAAGGAAGAGTATGACACACATGAGAGACTGAGATATATTCAGCATGTCTAGGCTAACACTGTTCAAGAGAACTTTCTGCCATGATTGACAGGTTCTGTATCTGTGCGGTTCAAAATGGTAGCCACTAGCCACACGTGATGGTTGAGGCAGCTGAAATGTGGCTATGTGTAGACTAACTGAACGTTTAATTGTAATAGATTGAAATTTACCTAGTCATGATGGCTAGTGAGCCACCATATTGGACAAGCCACCATATCAAGTACAAGGCAGAGGTTGCAATGTGGCGGTGCAGGTGAAGGGAGGGAGGAGGGCACAGGGCTGGGTACTCCGTTGGCATTTTGTTCTAAGGGCCATGAAAGGCCACTGGAGAGCAGCAAGGCACTCTAGTTTTTATTTTTAAAGGATCAATTTTTTTAAAAAGTGTATAAAAAAATCACATAAGCTTGGAGGAGAATGTATTATGAGAGCAAGCGGGACCAGTAATTGCACCGTAGATGACCCCTCAGGAGCTGTTAAAGCCCCAGTCCCAAGGCTGTAATCTTGTTGGCCACATCATTCTCCCCAAAGCTGTGTAGTGCGTCCCCCTGGCCTCCCCAGGACAGGACAAACATAAAACAAATCCCATCGCCGTGAAGTCCGTTGCGACTAACAGCAGCCCTATAAAACACATGAGAACTGCCCCACGGGGTTTCCAAGACTGTCCATCTTCAGGACAGCAGACTCATTCCCTCCATTCCCTCCGGGAAGCTAGCAATGGAGCTCTTCAACCACTAAGCCAGCCTGGGCTAAAACCCAAAAACCCAAACCAAGCAATCCCACTGCTATGGAGACGTTTGCGACTCGGAGCGACCCTATAGGGCAGGGTAGAACTGCCCTTGTGGGTTTCCAAGACGGTCTCTCTCCACTGGAGTAGAAAGCTTGGCCTTTCTCCTGGCCATCCTGGGAGGGGAGGCCTGCGTCAGGTGCACCGACCGGCCTCCCTGCCTCCACCTGCCGGCTGGTGCTGGAAACACCTTTAACTAGTGGAACCCGGGTCTGCCTGTCACAGTGCCTGGGGAGGAGGGCCCAGGGGGTAGCCCACAGAGGTGGGAAAGTTCCCCCAACTGCTGGCTCGGCGCGGGTGCTACAATCGGGGGCCATCTGTTGTCCTGGGCCTCTCCTCTACTGGGGGCACCCCACACGCTCTCTGCCGCTGGGAGAGTAGTGATTGGAAGCCAGGGTCCTGGGGCAGGACTCCCCTATTTCATGCTGGCTCCCACCCTGGGCCGGACCTCAGCACCCTAGGGCCTCCTCTGGTCGCTCTTGCCCACCCCCACCCTGATGCTTCAGTGGCTGGACAGTGGAGGGGTGGGGGGAGAGGAGGCGTGTCTCCTTGGGCGCAGAGGAGGGTGCGGCCGTGGTCCAGACGGTCAGTCTCTGATGGCCCGCTGGGTCTGGCCGGAGAGCAGTGACGCTGCGCGCCCCACTGTGCGGGCCGGGCCGGGTGCACGGAGGGGGTGAAGGGCGATCCCTTGGAGAGAAGGGAAGGAGGTGCTTGCGGCTCCTCCGCTGTCAGCGCGCCGCCGCCGCCCCCGCCACTTCCTCCGGCCGCCCGCCCTCCGGCCAGGAGCCTGGGGATCCCAGCCCGCGGCCCGCCACGCCCTGCTCGGTCTTGCGGGTAAGTCCGTGGGTCCGCCCGGGCGTCCCAAGTGCCCGCAACCTGACAGTGACGCATGGGGATCCCCGAGGCGCCTGCTAGGGTCCCCTCTGCTTGGCCAGCCAGGCCACTTTCTCTGCTGCCAGGGTGAACGGAGGGTCCTGGAGGCTCGGACTGGACTAGCCAGACAGCTGTCGCTGCTGGAGCCTGGGCGTGGTGGGCTGGGAGCTGGGCAGAAAGGGATGTAACCAGGCGATAAGGTCTCTGGCCACCTGAGACACCCCACTGCAGGCTGGAAGATGGCTGGTTACAACGGCAAGTGAAGGCGGCCATCTAGGTCTCCACCTCCCCGTGAGAAAATGCTCCTTGCAGGTCCCTGGGGTCTGGGAGAGCCAGAGACTGGGCCAGCTCCGGCCCACTGGGGAGCACAGGGGCTCCCCCCACCCCCTAGTCTGGGGCCCCACCCCGTGCCATGTGATGGGAGTTGTGGTTACTGTTTTCCTGTGAGGGGAGAGCGTGCTTGTCAGCTGAGCCTAGCGGGGTCACACGGAGGGCCTGTCTAGTAGAGAGCTGGGGCGGTCACTGAGGGGCGGCCTCCCCATTCTGCAAACCTCAGAGAGCGGAGGCACGGAGAGATGGCATCCGATGCCTTCAGAGAGTCAGACTGCACATACAGACCTGGCTCTGAAAGATTTGGAGCACGGAAGAGGAACCTCGTGGTCGAATAAGACCATTTTAAATGGGGCACCAACAGCTGAGTGACGCTGGTCTAGTCACTTCCCTTTTCTGAGCCTTAGTTCTCCTGGCTACATAAAGAGGAGTTTAACCAGGCCAGGGATTTCCAGCAGTGGTCACCCCGCCCCCCCTAATGAACTTTCTGTTTTTTTGCAGTGACTGGCTGAGTGAGGAGCCTTACCCTAGCGACTCTACTTTCTTCTGTGTGAGTATTGGCTTCCTTACAAGACGTTGCTTGCAAGCCAGGGATTTGCTGTTAATGTAAACGTGCCTTCAGACCAGGGGTAGTGGCTTCCCAGAGCTTAGCAAATCTCTGAGGGAGAGTCTAGGACTTGATTTGGATCCAATGGCTTCTGGCCCTTTTTGGGGACAACATCAGGGAAGGAAGCCCTTTTTGATTCCCTGTTCTTCACCCCTGCGAGGGACAGACCTACCTCACCCTCTGCCTGCCCCATCCGGCTCCCTTCCCCCTCCTGTTGGGCTGAGCTCTGTCTGGAACTATAGAGATGGATCTACTTGGGCTCCGTAGACCCACCCACTTCTAAACATTTCCTCTTGCAGGGCTCAGCCAGAGCTCCCTCCTTGACCCAGCCCGAGAGGGAGAGGGGACCTCCTGTGACCAGGAGCTCCACAGTCTCCTCTCCTCAGAATGACCGCGCCTGCCAGGGGTCCTGCTTTCAGGCTTGAGACTTCCGATGGAGGCCAGGAAGATGGCACTGAGGGGGACAAAGGAAATCTGGGCCATGGGGATGGGCCACCTCCCATGGAGTCACCGTTCCAGGGTGAGGACCGCAACTTCTCCCCTCAGATCAAAGTGAACCTCAACTACCGGAAGGGACAGAGTGCCAGGTGAGGAAGCCAATGGGGTGGGGTTGGGGGGAGCCCCCCTCCTTCAGCAGTGTCCTGTGCTTCCTCCTGAGACTCAGTGGCTTCTTGGGCTGACTGGTGAGCCCCCACAGGATGACCTCTGCCCTACCCTCCGGGGTTTCTGCTTCTGGAACCCGTCCCATTCTGGGTCTTCTGTCCTCTGAGATCTTGTTCTACTTAGTGGGGAGACTCTCCTCCAAATCCCCCTTGTGTGTGTCCACTCCCCGTCCTGTTGGGGCCCGTGGAGGAAGGGCGCATGATCCACATTCCAGTCTTGAAAGAGAATCGAGGACATCAGGAGATTTTCCGGGTATTTCTTGGCTCTGCTCTAAGACAATATAGGAAATATTCTCCGATTTTAGTCCCATGCCCTCGATTCTCCTCCAACCTGTCCCTCCGGGAATGTGGACTCAGGGGATTGAGGGCAGTGCTTCCTCTGGGAGTCATCTGCTCCCTGACTTTCCTGGCCATCTCTTTAGACTCTGCTCCTTCCTGGTTCCTGGACGTGCAGCTGCCTGCAGGGCACAGACCCTCCACGCCCCCTGCCTCCCACTCACCTCCCCCTCCTGTTGGGCTGAGTTCCGTCTGGAGTTATACAGATAGGTCTACTTGCCTTCAGTAGACCCACCCACTTCAAAAGAGGAGATTCCAAAGGTCTCTCCTCTTCAACTTGGGTTGAGTTGTGCTTCACCTGGTAGCCCTCACCAGCCTGCGGCCTGTTGCATGAGGCAAGACTGCCAGGGAAGCCCGGCTCCTCTGCCCTCCTGCCTGAGACGTGGTACCAGCCTTGGTCTCCTGAGTTCCAGCCCTCACCTTTGCCTCACCTTTGCAAGTACCGTTGGGCTTGGAGAATGGCAGTCCACGTCAGGCCCAGGAAAGCAGAGGATGGGAATGCAAGGGTTCATTCGGGGAGCTGTCTAGCCTGCCAGGCTCTCCAGGGCCTGCCTCGTCCAGTGCCCTCCCAGGACTTCCATATCCCAGGACCATGATGCCATCTTAGTGGCTGGAGCGGCTCTGTCCAAGTGGCCCACTTCCTCTGGCTGAACTCCCCACGGGGCATGAGTCAGCTACAGAGCCTTCTTGGCCATGCTGTGGCCATGTGGTCTGTGAGGTGGAAGCCTCCTGAGGTAGCTATGCAGCCGCCTGTATGAGACTCAGACAGTAGTGCTATGTATAAAGCCAAGGATAAACGGGATTGTCAGCTTGGACTCCTGTTAATGGTCTGGGGTACATCTGTCCAGACTTTTGTGAGTACATTGGACATATAGTTACATATGGGGTCTCGTCAGACTGCACAGAACATTTGTGATGTGCTTCCTCCACTCCCCCACCCCACACCCCACACCAACCAAACCAAACTCGCTGCCATTCAGTCAATGCCGGCTCATAGCGACTCTACAGGACAGGAGATCCGTGCCTGTGGGTTTCCGAGACTGTAACTCTCAGAGAGCCCCGTCTTTCTCCCATGCCCACACACATCCTGTACTTATTATATCTTGGAGCGCTTTCCATTTTAGTACATTTACTTCTAACGTGGCTGTGTGTGGTACAGTGACTGCAGTTGCCCACAGGAACCTTGGAAGAAAGGCCTGGTGGTATTGGAAACCCTGGCGTTGCTGTTGGCTCCTCCCTTTCCACTCAGTCTCCTTAGCAACGGCATGGGTTCCTACTCTGGTACTTGCAAAGGTGAGGCAGACAGTTCTGGGGGTTCACCAATCACCCCCACCCACCCATCAGGGAACCACTTGCCGACTCACGCATTACAGAGAGATAGGAGGCTGGGCCCTGAGGCTCCTCAAGCATTCAATGCTCTGCCCTTTGCCCTTCCTTTGTTCCTTGATATCTGTTGGTCAGGACATCAGATGGGTCAGGGATAAGCTGGCCTCCTGTGAATAGTGACATTGTCCCAGAGGGAGGGTCCCGCACCCCTCCCCCAAACACAGTTAGATTTTGATGAGCTATGAGGCTCTGTTCAGGATCTCTGGAAGAGATTTCCCCGAAGTGAGGCTTCTTAGAAAAACTCTGGTAACACTGATAAGTCAGTGCTGGACACACCTTGAGGAAGCCTTGGTGTTGCTAAAAGTCTTCTACCATCAAGGTCCGAGGTTCAAACCCAGCAGTCAGTCCTTGGGAGAAAGAAGAGACTATCTCCACCCATAAATGTGTGCAGACACCAGAAACCCTGGGTAGGGGACCCATGAATCAGAATTGACTCCGTGGCGGCAGTGGGTTTGGATTTGGAGAGTTTGGTTAGGACACACCTATTCACCCTCCCGACTCTTGGAGAAACTTCTTGCTGGCCACCTTAGACTCTCCCCGGGAGTTAGGAGTCAGCGTCTGGAGTTAGACTGTCCCGGTGGTGCAGCGAGTTAAGCTTCAGGACTTAGCAAAGATTCAGACCCACCAGCCACTAATTGGGAGAAAGATAAAACTGTCTGCTCCCGTAAGATCCACCTTCTCAGAAACGCTAAGATGCGGCTCTGCTGTGTCCTCCAGGGTTGCAATGAGTTAGAATTCATGCCACGATCCACTCTTCGATGGTAGTGCATGTGGTTTGGTTTGGGTGTCGGGAGCCCACTTCTGCATTGACTACCTCCTGTATGACTTGGACTGTTGTGGTTCCTAGCTTCAGGGGGCTGCAGTGAGCATTAAAGGTGATGAGGAGGAGGGGCTTGTCTTGATTCCCTTCTTTGAGGGCAGGGGGGCACATAGCCACTCCCTGTGGGACACCCTGTTCCAACCCAAACCCGTCTTACGCCACTCACTCTACTCACCTCACTGCCGTTGAGTTGCTTCCAACACATGGAGACCCTACAAGACAGATAGAACTGCCCCTGTGGGTTTCCTAGACTATAAATCTTTATAGGAGTAGACAGCCTCATCTTTCTCTTGTGGAGTAGCTGGTGAGTTCGAACCACTGACCTGTGGCTAGCAAGCAGTTCAGTTTGTAACCTAAGAGCCACGACGTCGACCTCTATTGAAACAGCTTCCACTGCAGCAGACCCCTCGTTTGTGAAGTAGGTATTGAGTTTGTGGTGAGACAGAGCATCAGAGCACCTGGCAAATGACAAGTTCCAGATGCTTCAAGGGCCTGTGATGACTGAGTCCTGGGGGCATGTGGGATTGGTACCCTGGGCATCCTTCCCCAGGGTTCAGTGTGTGTGGGCTCTGTCTCCTGCCCTCTAGGAGAGCAGAGGCCCCAGCATAGCTCCCCTCAGGGCTCCTGGGCCTGCCAGGTGGAGGGATGGTGCCTGGTTTGGGGGGTGGGGGGGTTGTTGGAGGTCCTTCTCCAGCATGAGACAGAAGTCACCTTCTTTAGCAGCAAACCCGATCCTGAGCGCTTTGATCGGGACCGGCTCTTCAGCGTGGTCTCCCGGGGCGTCCCAGAGGGGCTGGCTGGATTGGCAGAGTACTTGCGCAAGACCAGTAAATACCTCACTGACTCAGAATACACAGGTAGGCCCATCGTGTGGTGACAGAGGTGGCATCCTTTGGTGGGGTGGGGTGGGGTTGGGCTGACTGGGTGAGCTCCTGGATCATATGTTCTTACAACCTGCCCTGGCTGCCCTGGGAATGGCCATTGGAGGCCCTGCGGGCAGAGCCAAGGACAGCTTACCCCACCAGGCGCCCCGACCTGCCTCATCCCCTCCAGCTCAGTTCAGTAGCCTTCTTTTATTAATGATCATATTATTGAACTATCACTCATGGACCATTGACCTTGGCAGCCTCCAAGCATTCTCTGTGTCAAATTTAAATATCTTTACAGTTTAGGCTGAGTAGAAAAATACTATTTGTGCTCTGCAGGACACTCGGCTATATATAAAGCCAAGGATAAAAAAAGGCCAACTTGTCATTTGGGGCCCCTGTTAATAGTCTGGGGTATATCTTTCCAGACTCTTGAATCCATTAGACATATTCACATTGTGGGGTTTGTCATTCGTACTGATTCATACTGTGCTTCCACCACTGCTACTCCCACTGCCTACTCACCCCCACCACATTTCAGAGCACTTTCTATTTCAGTACATTTACTTCTAACTTGGCCCCAAGTGATACAAACAGGGGTTGCGCTTGCCTGCTAACTGAAAGGTTGGGGGTTCAAGACCACCCTCTGGAGCCTTGGAAGAGAGGCCTGGTGATTGGCTTCCAATAAACCAGCCATTGGAAGCCCTCCGGCATGTTGGAGTAGGTTGCTGTAAGTCAGAACCAACTCCACAGTAGGTTGCTGTAAGTCAGAACCAACTCCACAGGAACTTTTTCTTTTTTAATCTGTTTATGTATGTAACAGTTTTATTGAAATACAATTCCCATATCATTTCACATTAATAAGAGGTGTGTAATCATCACCACCATTAATTTTAGAGCCTTTTCTTCTTTCTTGTACTCATTGTTACTTAAAAACCCTCAAATTCACTGCCATGGAGCGGATGCTGACTCAGAGCAACTCTGTAGGGCAGGACAGCACTGCCCCTAGGCATTTCCGAGACTGTAAGCAAGCCCCGTCTTTCTCCCAGGAGCAGCTGACTTTGCAGCTAGCAGCTCAACACTGAACCATGACACCACCGGACTCATCCGGTTGCCATGAGTCAGGACCGACTCAATGGCAGTGGGTTTCATTGTTGTTGGGGAACTGCTTTTGCCAGGGTCTGACGTCTTCCCTTGGACCTCAGTCTCTTTAACACCTGCAGAGGTTCCAACTGTGTAGATTTGCCATCATTTAGGTAGGTCCCCATTCTTTGCGAATGACTATTTACATTGTGTGCGGCTGTCAGCCTCAGCTTCCCTCTCTGTGTTGCACACTCTGTACCCACTTGTATCATTCCACTGAACCCTACAATAAGCCCTGGAAGCATTCCGCCCATTCTATAGGGGAAGACTCTCGGTGGAGGAGAGGTTACGTGAATTGTTCTTGGAGACTGAACCATTAGTGCGGCAATGGAGAGCTTTGTCAAAACATCTCTGCCCCCAAGACAGATCACGTCTCAGAAATTTGATTTCTCGGGCAGAATTTATGGTCATTTTTAACCCTTGGCATTTTAATACCTGTTAGCTGGAGTTTAATACCCTCCTACACAGCTTTGCCAACTCAGGCTCCCGCTGGTAGTGTGTAGCAGTCTTTTTTTAATCCTCCCAAGGGGCACTTTAGGACTGGCGGGCAGCCCAGAGAGTACAGGCCTGTACACCCCCTTCAACCCCTCCCCGCTATTTTCCCACAGAGGGCTCCACGGGCAAGACGTGCCTAATGAAGGCCTTGCTGAACCTTCAGGATGGTACCAACGCCTGCATCCTGCCGCTGCTCCGGATCGACAAGGACTCTGGCAACCCCTGGCCCCTGGTCAACGCCCAGTGCACGGATGACTACTACCGAGGCCACAGTGCCTTGCACATCGCCATTGAGAAGAGGAGCCTGCCGTGTGTGAAGCTCCTGGTAGAGAACGGGGCAGATGTGCATGCCCGGGCCTGTGGCCACTTCTTCCAAAAGAAGAGCCAAGGGGCGTGCTTCTATTTTGGTGAGCCGGCCTTCCTTGCACACAGTGAGGTGCAGAGGGCTCGGCAAGGTTTGCCGAAGCTCTCACAGTTAGGATGTGGCAGAGCTGTTACTTAAGCCCAAGTTGGCTGGACATTGATGCCCATGTGCTTATCCACCTGGCTGAGCCCTGAGGAGCCACAGTGGTGTGGTGGTTACACATTGGGCGGCTAACTGCAAGGCCAGCAGTTTAAAAGCACCAGGCATTCTGAGGAGAAAAACGAGGCTTTCTACTGCAGTAAAGAGTTACAATCTCAGAAACTCACAGGGGCAGTTCTACCCTGTCCTATGGGGTCATCATGAGTCAGAATCAACTCGATGGCAGTGAGTTTTGTTTTTGTTTGGCTGAGCCCTGCAATGGATGGCTAACCTCAAGGTCAGCAGTTCAAAACCACCAGTTGTTCTGCAGGAGAAAGATGAGGCTTTCTATTCCTATAAAGATTTCCAGTCTCAGAAACCCCCAGGGGCTGTTCTTCCCTAGCCTATCGGGTCTCTATGCCCTGGAATTGAGTCCGTGGCAGTTGATTTTGGTCTTAGAGTTGGCTGCCTGCAGAAGTGATTTGTCTTAAGAGCTAATTGATCCCCATTTGGTCAAGGAAGGTTGGCAGGTTGGCAGGGAGGGCGAGTGGGCGGCTAGGATGGGTACATGGTAGGATTGACCAGACAGGGCCTAACCACCACAATAAAGGGGTATCCATACCAGGCAGCAGTGGAGTCCTGGGGGCGTAGGGCTGTGAATTGCAAACGCCAGCAATCCAAAACCACCCGTGTGGGAGAAAGTTGCGGGTTTCTACTTCTATAAAGAGTTACAGTCTCAGAAACTCACAGGGGCAGGTCTAGCTTGTCCTATCATGTCGTTATGAGTATGAATTGGCTCAATGGCAGTGAGGGCTTTTTCTTTTTTCTTTTTTTTTCAATGCCAGGCAGCAGTGAGCCTGGGCTCTGGCCAAGAAAAGAGAGAGGGAGGGAGGAAGGGACCCCTGGTTGGCTAGACCCAGTTTGGTGCACTTGGCCTTGGGGAAGAACAGGAAAGCGCTGCGCCTGTCAATGCTTCTAGGAAGAGGAGGCAGCTGCCCGGAGCAGGGCCTGGGACCTCCCCATCCTTGGCAGCCCTGGGTGGGCCAAGCTCCCCAGCTCCAGCCCCAAGGCAGCGCTTCCCCCTCTCCTACGAATGCCACGGTGTGGTTCCTGGAGGCTTGGCCTTCTGCTCAGAGAAAGTGAGAAGTAGTCTGGCAGAAAGGGGACACTCAAGGCCCCAGCTGCCCCCTCGTCCCCAGGTGAGCTGCCCCTCTCTCTGGCCGCGTGCATCAAACAGTGGGATGTGGTGACCTACCTCCTGGAGAACCCGCACCAGCCGGCCAGTCTGCAGGCCACTGACTCCTTGGGCAACACAGTGCTGCACGCCCTGGTTATGATTGCTGACAACTCGGCCGAGAATAGCGCCCTGGTGATCCGCATGTACGACGCGCTGCTGCGGACCAGCACCCGCCTCTGCCCCACGGTGAGGCTTGAGGACATCCCCAACAGACAGGGCCTCACGCCTCTGAAGCTGGCCGCCAAGGAGGGCAAAATCGAGGTGAGTAGCCATCCTCTCCCCGTTGCCACCTCTTCAGGAAGCAGCAGGAGTCCCCGAGATTTCTACAAGGGTTAGGAGGTTCTGGTGGCTTAAGGCAGTGGTCTCTCATATCACATGTTGGGCTGCTAACATCAAGGCCAGCAGTTCAAAACCCCCAGCCTCTCTGCAAGTGAAAGAGGAGGCTTTCTACTCCCATAAAGCGTTAGAGTCTTAGAAACCTACAGGGCCAGCAGTTCTACTCAGTTTGATAGAGTCACTATGAGTCAGAATCGACTGGCTGGCAGTGAGTTTGGTTTATTCGTAAGAAAGGATACTCTGGTGGCATATTGGCTCTGTATCGGTTCAAACCCACTAGTTGAGACTGTCTGCTCCCATAAAGATTTATAGTCTTGGAAAATCTAAGGAACTGTTCTATAGGGTCACCATAAATTAGAATTGACTTGATGGCAGTGGTTAGTAGGTGCGAACAGTTAATATACCAATGAAAGGTTTGAAGTTCAAGTCCACCCAGAGGTGCCTTGGAAGAAAGGCCTGGGGTCTGCGTCCCAAAATGCAGCCATTGTAAACCTTAGAGAGCACAGTTCTACTCTGACATGGGGTCACCCCAAGTCAGAATCAATCTGACGTCAAATGATGTTTTATTAATAAGAAAAGTTTCAAAGTATGGTTCTAATAGATGTATTTATTAATAAATTGCACCTGTACTACTGAACTACTACAGCATGTTACATTACAAGACACGGTAATCTTTTCAAAATTGAGAGAAGAAATACACATACATGAATGTTTAAATATTTTATTCCTCCCCTGCCAATTTCCGAACCATCTCCTGGGGTGTGTCAGCGCTACTTGGTTGTCTAGCAATGTGGTTGCATGGCCTACGTAAGCCACTCCTCATTTGCAAACTCTAATGGCTTGTGAGCTTGTTGTAGGTCCCCCTTTTGACATCTGTGGAAAGTGCTGGACTCAGATGTGCAGACCCATAGACTTGACAGACCTAGGGACATGCGTGTCTGGAGAGTGCGTCTGCTCAGGCGGCTGGCTCTACAGATTTTCAGACATATCCTGCAGCGGGAGTTCTCGGGGCAGTACCAGCCACTTTCCCGAAAGTTCACGGAGTGGTGCTATGGGCCTGTCCGTGTGTCGCTGTACGACCTGGCTTCTGTGGACAGCTGGGAGGAGAACTCGGTGCTGGAGATCATCGCCTTTCACTGCAGGAGCCCGGTGAGCCTGCAGGGGCTGTGGGGAGGTCAGCGGTGTGGGCCAGGCAGAGCTCCTGGCCCGGCCCACAGATCAGGGCCACCTCCTGGGCCGCACCAGCCATGTCCTTAGGCTGTGCGCATGTGGTTACACGTGGATGCTGGGCTCACACTCCTCCCTCACTCCTGTTCCAACCAACGGGGGCTATGGCCCGGGCATGGTGGCAACCACTGAGGGCTGCCCTGGTGACTCACACCTGTCAGCACAGCTCTGGAGTGGAGGGAGTAGTTCTCAGCCACATCATCGTCATGGGGGCTGAGCTGCAGTGGTGGGTGGGTGGGTGGGGGGTGTCATTCGGGGCTCCTGCTGGGTGTGAGCCTGCTCCCCACCTACCCCTCCATTTCCCCACTTCCCTCTGCCCTTATATTATCTTATATTACCCTCCACGACATGGGCTCCCGGGTGTCCTCTCTGGACATGTCCCGTGCCCACCCCAGCACCGACACCGAATGGTCGTTTTGGAGCCGCTAAACAAACTGCTGCAGGCGAAATGGGAGCTGCTCACCCCCAAGTTCTACATCAACCTGCTCTCTTACCTGGTTTACATGATCATCTTCACCGCCGTGGCCTATCACCAGCCAGCCCTGGAAAAGGTAAGGCCGGGCTCGGGGCCAGATCCAGACCACAGCCCGGGAGAGAGACGGAGCAGAGATGACCATACCCAACCGACAACTGACGACAAGCCTGATGGCCTGTCAGCTGGCCCCGTCAGTCCTAATAGTCCCCATCGGCCATGCAGGGTTCACTGAACGCTCACTGTGCACAAGAAAGTAGTCTAAGGGCGCTCTCACTTCATGGGTAGTGCATGCAGTTAAAGTGCTCAGCTGCTAACCGAAAGGTTAGAGACTCAACTCCACCCATAGGACCTCAGACGAAATGCCTGTGATCTGCTTCGAAATACTTAGCCCTACGTTCACAGCTCTGCTCTGACGCCGGCGGAGTTGTTCTCCGTCTGAGTTGACATATTGGGAACTGGTCCTGCCAACTGAATTCCCCCAACAGCCCTCTGAGACGATGCACCGTTGGTTCTTTCTGTGTGCGATCGAGGAAAGGAAAGGAGGGCACCCGGAGGCTAGATAATTCATTCAGGGGACTGCAGCTTGTGGGCGGTGGAGATGGGATTCGAACCTGAGCAGACTGGCTCTCGGTCCCACTACACAGAGTGCTCCTCAATAGACTGGAGCCATGTTCCTTCTCCTGCTCTGTGTGACTTGTCCATAGCTCGGGCCTGGAGTGGGCACCAGGACTCCACTCCCAGAGGGCAAGCTTTCTGGAGAGGACCCTCTGTCCCCCAGGCCTCAGCGCACTCTGAATGTCTCCTTAGCAGGGCTGGCATCCCCTGAAGCCAACAGCCGGAAACTCCATGCTGCTGCTGGGCCACATCCTGATCCTGCTTGGGGGACTGTACCTCCTCTTTGGCCAGGTCAGTGTTCTTCTCCCACACCCTTTTCGCTCCCCCTCACACCCCACGTGGCACCCAGCTGGTCAACAAACAGGAATGCTGCTACCTGGGTCTTAGAGTGAGTTCACCACACTTCGTCATTTCCTGGCAAACGCAATCCCATGCCCGGGAGCATCCAGACCAACCTGCTCATTGGCAGTGTTGGCGCTCTCCTTCTGGAACTCATGCTGGAAGTCCCTCTGGGGACAGGCTCCATTTGAAGAGCACAGGGGGCCGAGGAGGGCACAGATCCCCTCCCCCTCCACTTACTGCCATTAAGTTGATTTGCCACCCCATAGGACAGAGTGGAACCGCCCTATGGGTTTCTGAGACCGTAACTCTTCCTGGGACTAGAAAGCCTCATCTTTCTCCCACGGAGCTGCTAGTGGTTTTGAACCGCTGACCTTGAGGTCAGCAGCCCACCTCACCACCCCGACGCCACCAGGGCTCCTTTTCCATTGAAAAGGCTGCACATTTACAGGAGACAGGCTGGTTGCCGTGGCAGCGAGGGGATAGAAGTCAGAGGCGTAGAAGGTGTGCTCTGTGGAGTCAGGGAGGGCCGTGGGAAGAGGGCTGCTCCTCACCGGATGCGGAGGCTGGGGACTCTGGATATGGATCTTCAGGGCATCAGGAGGTCTTGACATTGACTGCGTGGCTGCTTGTTTTTGGAGAGTGCATCATCCGAAGGCCCAGACTTTTCTTAGCTGATCAGAAGTCTCCACATGCCCCTCCTTAAAAATCAAAGCTGCAGCCTCCAAGGGGGTCCTAGCTGGGGGCCCAGACACAGCCAGACTGGCAGACCCTCAGAGCACAGGCAGGGAGTGTGGTGGGGCGAGGGGCGGGGACCCTGCCCCGGGGCTGCGTCATGTTCACACCTGTCTTTCCCATCGCTCCCCACAGCTGTGGTACTTCTGGCGGCGGCGCCTGTTCATCTGGATCTCGTTCATGGACAGCTACTTCGAGGTCCTCTTGTATGTGGGCTCGCACCCCTTCTTACCCCCTGGCAGAGGCGGGGAGCAGAAAGCACCAGGCTCCTTTAGGGGCGAGGGCGCAGAGTGGAACCAGGCCCAGGAGTCTGGGCCGCCATCTCCCCTGTGGCACTGTCCACTCCCATCCTTAAGGGTTATGGCTAGACTGTTGACATTTGTTGAGACTTATTAGGTACCGGCAGAACCGGAGCTCTTGTATTATTTTATTCAATCCTCACACATGCTTGGTGGGTTAGGAATTATTCCCATTATACCTTTTTTATAGGGGTTAAATCACTTGCCCGGGATAGATGCATCCACTCTCAGATAGGCTTTGGTGTCCCAATCCTTATCTCTTCCGGCACATGGAAAGTTACTCAAGCCATTGGACATGGGTGCCAGCTGGGGTGCCTGGGAGCTGACCCAGACCCTTCGCCTTGCAGCCTGCTCCAGGCCCTGCTCACAGTGCTGTCCCAGGTGCTGTGTCTCTTGGCCATTGAGTGGTACCTGCCCCTGCTCGTGTCCTCGCTGGTGCTGGGCTGGCTGAACCTGCTGTACTACACACGTGGCTTCCAGCACACAGGCATCTACAGCATCATGATCCAGAAGGTGAGAGGGAGATGTGGCCTGGGACAGTCACATAGGTAGGGCCAGATTCTTTCCTTCGGGGCCAAGGAGCGCCTGGGCTGGTCTGCCGGGGCTCCAGCCATCCAGAAATTTGCTGCACATAAGCATAAGCACGAGGGCACACACACACATGCCCTCAGGAGCATCCACACATAGGGCCACACATGTGTGTGTGCAAGCGTCCACACATCCACACAGGGCCACGTGCATTCTTGCCTAGGATATGCACACACACACACACACACACACACACACACACACACACACCCGCCCCTCCCCAATTCAATGGTGTGCCTGCGTCCAGGAACAGATGGGCTGATGTGTGGACAGTCATTTAGTCCTTTGACAAACAAATATTTTGGGAGTGCCTACTGTGTGTCAGCCCTATCCCAAATCTTCGGAATCCAGCCGTGAACACCACAGACGGGCTTCTCGCTCTGATGCTGGGGACAAGGAAACAAGTGAGGATGTTCCGAGCGTTCAGTTCTGTGAAGGAAATGCGCAGCACGGCGGGTGGTGGGAGAATGGGGGCGGCGTGATTTCTCTGTGATGACCAGGGAAGACCTCTCTGCGGGGGGGCAGGGGGGACACGCAGGTGGTGACCTATTTGGTGATCCTAGAGCTTGGACTGAAGTGCTTCATGCAGAGGACGTAGGGCAAGGGCCCCGAGTTGGGGCAGGCCTCGTGTGCTTGGGGCAAGAGCAGGCGGTGGGGACTGGGGAAGAGTGAGGACGGAACAGGAGAGGGAGTTGAGGAGTAGAGCCAGAATGTTCCTTACAGCTGAGGACGGTCCGACGTCGTCTCATATACTTTGGACACGTGATGGGGAGACAGCAGGTTCTGGAGGACAGCATGCTTGGTAAAGCAGAGGGGCAGTCCTCAATGAGTCGAGGAAAGCCCGCGACAAGACGGAGAGACCCAGGGGCTGTGTCAATGAGCTCAAGGACAGGAGCAATTGTGCAGATGGCCGAGGACCGGGCAGTGTTTCGCTTTGTTGGACACAGGGTCCCTGTGAATCAGAGTGGGCTCAGTGGCACCGAATAAGAACAGCTCAGAGCCTACTGCCATCGAGTTGACAGTGACTCATAGGGACCCTATAGGACAATGTAGACCTGCCCCAGTGAGTTTCTGAGCCTGTAATTCTTTATGGGAGTAGAAAGACCCCTCTTTCTCCTTCAGAGTGGCTGGGGGCTTTGAACTGCTGAGTAACAGCAGATGGTGCAAATGGGTAAGCACTTGGCTGCTGACTGAAAGGTTGGAGGCTTGGATCCACCCACAGGCCCTTTGGAAAACCAGCCACGGAAAACCCGGAGGGGCACAGTTCTCCTCCACAAGCTGGAGGTGACTGGAGGGCCACTGGTTGGTTTTCTGGGATTTAAAGCAGAACGATGGGAGATGATGATCGTTCTTAAGGTTGTTAAGAGATTCTCTTTGCTTGGCGTCGGCACACAGATTGTGGATGTGTGGGTGGGGTGGGGTGGGGGGCTGTGTGTCTATGGGAGCCCGTGTTTGGTGGCGTGGCCACTCAGCCCGACTCCTCGGTGTGTGTGTTCCAGGTCATCCTGAGGGACCTGCTCCGTTTTCTTCTGGTCTACTTCGTCTTCCTCTTTGGTTTTGCTGTAGGTAAGCTCCACCCTCCCCCGTGGGGGCTAGTCCTTGCGCATTCCGTACACCCTTGGGACTCCTTCCCAGGCTAAGGGTGCCCCTCTTACCCTCTCACCTGCAGCACTGGTGAGCCTGAGCAGGGAGACCCAAGCCCCCAAGGCCCCCTCGGACCTCAATGCCACAGATGGGGAGCCTCACAAGGAGGGAGGGGCAGATGAGGAGGGTCACGCGGTCCCATACGGGGGCATCCTGGACGCCTCCCTGGAGCTCTTCAAGTTCACCATCGGCATGGGTGAGCTGGCCTTCCAGGAGCAGCTGCGCTTCCGTGGGGTGGTGCTGCTGCTGCTGCTGGCCTACGTGCTGCTCACCTACGTGCTGCTGCTCAACATGCTCATCGCCCTCATGAGCGAGACCGTCAACAGCGTTGCCACCGACAGCTGGAGCATCTGGAAGCTGCAGGTGCCCTTAGAGAGCGATCCTTCCCACCTCCCCCAGGTCCCAGCTTCCCAGCTTCCCACCTCCCCCAGGTCCCAGCGGAGCGGGAGATACTGAGGGTGGGTTATGTCCTTGGTCTTGCTCACCCCTTCGTAAGGCTGGCGTGAGGATGGTTACACTCATAGACGTAAAGTGCTTTGGACAGTTACCGAGCACATCGCAAATAGGTGGTGAAGCGTGATTCTCAGTAGTGCTGGTGGAGTCCCAACGACTTCCTGGTGGGTCCCCTGAGCACAATACTAGACGCTGAAGCCCCAACAATGAACAGGGCGCAGTCACGGCCCTTGTAGAGCTCATATTCTGTGTTCTTCTGTCTGCAAGAAGGGCTCTGTTTGGTGGGGGTGAGACATCCTGGTGGTAGGGGACCAAGTCCTCTGTAACTAACGGAGCTCCTGGCTGGCCCGCCTCCCTGTGCCCACAATCGTCATCGTTATCTAGAAATAACTGAAACACCTTCAGTGGTGGAGTTTCTCAAACGGACAAGTATTCTTTCACAGTTATAGCAGGCTAGACATCCAAATTCAGAGTCCCACCTCCAGAGGAAGTCTGTCTATCTGTCTGCCTCTTGGCTCTGGGGGAAGGTCCCTGGAGGGGACACACCCATCAACCATGGCAGCAGCAGCTCCTTCCTGGCTAGGGAAAGGTCAGGGTGGGGCTGGGCCCACTGGAAGCTGGTGCAGGGAAAGCCTAGCCCGCTTCTGCTGCGGATTCATTGTTGCCCTGGGACCAGGGACACCGGTGGCACTGTCAGCTAAATGTTGGACTGCCAACTGCATGGTTGGTGGTCCCATCTGCTCTCGTGAAGACTGACACCCTTGGGACCCCTAGATGGGGCCATCCAGAGTCGGAACTTGCTCCTCCGTAGCAGCAGTGGGTTCTTGAGCAAGTTCCTCACTCACTCCTTGCATGTGGGCGGGCAGTCAAATGCCTGGGCCTGGGCCTGGGCAGTGCTGTGGCGTCCCTTCCTGCCTGCTTGACCCCGGTACCCCACTTCCTGCATCTCTAGCTGAGGTCTGTCTCCCCAGAAAGCCATCTCAGTCCTTGAGATGGAGAATGGCTACTGGTGGTACCGGCAGAAGAAGCAGCGGGCAGGGGTGATGCTGAAAGTGGGCACCCAGCTGGATGGGAGCCCTGATGAGCGCTGGTGCTTCCGGTGAGTGATGTGGGCAGGGGACGCTCCAGCTAGAGTCGGGTGGCCCAGGGTCCCGTGGGAAAAGGAAGAGGGGCCTCCTTGTGCCCACTTGGGCTGAGCCCTTGACATCTGGGGCCTCAGCGCTGTTGTGTGCACACTCAGGGTGGAGGAAGTGAACTGGGACTCATGGGAGAAGACGTTGCCCACTGTGTGCGAAGAGCCAGCCGGAGCCCAAGTCCTTGGTGAGTGGCCCCCTTGGCCATGGCCAGAGTCCTAGCCCTGGGTGGGTGTGTCTCTGCTTGGCTAGCAGCAGCCTCCCTTCCCCCTCCTTAGCTGCCTGCCTATCCAGGGCCACTTTGCAGCTCCCCTTCATGTGCTGCTTCTCTTCTTTCTCACCCCTACACCCCACTGGCCAGGCTATTCATCCTTCCTCCAGCCCAGCCCTCACTCTGCCCCCAGTGCCAGCTTCCCCCCTGCCCATCAGCTGCACAGCTTAGCTCATTCATCCTGGTTACTGAGTGCCTGCCCCAGCAAGGCCTGGGTTGAGCCTGGACACCTAGCAGAACACTCAGAGCAGATTCTCCCAACCTATTCTGTGCCTCCTCTCCAGCCCACCCCTAGGACGCGCCCCCTGCTCCTTTCTCCACCTCCCAGCTCCTTCCCCTTTCCGTGTCAGTCATGACCGCCCTGTCCCCATCCTGCTTCCTCCCTCTGAGAGGCTGCCTCCTCTCACCTACCTCTCTGAGGCCTATTCAAGCTCTCCCTGTCTGCAAGGATGCACGTCCTCTCTGTCTAGAACAGTGGTTGTCAACCACCCTAATGCCGCGACCCTTTAATATCGTTCCTCATGTGGTGGTGACCCCCCAACCATAACATTATTTTCGTTGCTACTTCATCACTGTCATTTTGCTACTGTGATGAATTGGGTGACCCTCGTGAAAGGGTCGTTTGA